GTCCAGAGTGAAGGCTGCATAATGGAGTAGACTTGAGGGGAGGGATTGCATAACAATGAAAGACATTGTTGTTGTTGTTATGTGCCGTTGAGTCTCTTGCGACTCATAGCAACCCTATGTACAACAGCCCTAAACTCTGCTCTGTCCTGTGCCAATCGCACTGTCTGTTACACTCCCATCCCGATTAACCCTCTCACTGAATAAATCCACCTCATAGAGGACCATCCTCTCCTGTGCTGTCCCTCCACCCTCCCAAGCATGATGTCCCTCTCCAAGGACCGGTCTCTCCTCACAACATGTCCAAAGTATGTTAGACGGAGCCTTAGAATCCTTGCCTCCAAGTAGCAGCCCGGTTTGACCCTTTCCAGGATGAATCTGTTTGTTTTCCTAGCAGTCCATGGTACTTCTCCAGCACCACAGCTCAAAGACATCAATTCTCCTTCTATCCTCCTTGGTCATTGTCCAACTCTCTGATGCATAACAAGTGATTGCAAAGACCATGGCCTGTATCAGATGCACCTTAGTCTCCAGAGAGACACCATTGCTCTTCAGTACTTTAGAGAGGTTCCTAACAGCCAACTTTCCCATGGCAATGTGCCTTTTAATTTCCTGGCTACTGGTACCAAGAGTGTTGATTATGGAGCCAAGTAGACTAAAGCTGTGAACAATCTCAATCTCTTCACCATCCATCCTGATGCTGCCAATTGGTCCAGTGGTGAGAATCTTTGTCTTCTTGACATTGAGCCTCAATCCATATTGCAGGCTGCAGCCCTTGACCCTCTGCAGCAAGATATTAGTTACTTTTAAAAACAGCATTGTCAGTGTTTTCTTTGTGTTCCACTTGTTCCACTTTCAGTACTCTAGTTTCCCGGTCCCTTATAGTCTCATCTTTGCTTTCAGTGGAACTAAAAACCATCTTATGGATGGTTTTTAAATGGAAGATCCTACTCTTGGCTAATTTCCTTTGTTTTATTTGCCAGTCTCTTCTTTTGCGATAAGGTGGTCTTCTTTCTCCCAACGTAATGTTATTTTTGCTTTATATTTTTGTTCTATATATATTAGGGACCACAAGACATTCCTATTTATGGAGGCCTTTGCTTGTTTAGCACAAAAATCGGCACGCTGTCTGGAAAGGGCCAGATGGTACGTACTGCAGCCTCTGTGGGCCATATGTGATGCCATTACGCAGCTCCACTCTTAGGTGCCAGTGCAGCCAAAGACAGCATAAAAATGAGTGAGGTCAGCTGTGGTACAGGAAGACTTTATGTATAAAAGCAAGCAGCAGGTCAGATTTGGCCCACACGCCTTGGTTTGCCTTCAACTCATTTGTGTATTGACTACTTTCTGTCCCCTTCATTCTCTGCAGTAATTGTGAGGTTCTGTTTGGGGTCATTTTCAAGGTAAAGATGTCCGTGCTCATTGTTTGTCACCACTGTGACTCCAAAGCCAGGATCCATGGGAAAAAACCCAAACAAAACAAATGGACCCATTTAATAAAAATGTAAAAAGTTTATTCTGAGAAGGACCTTGTTAAGAGGAAGAAAATTTGAGCTACTGGCAGGAAAGAAATTTTTGCAAACATATACCTGGTGAAGGACTAATATATGCAGTATATAAAGAACTCTCAAAGTGCAACAGTGAAAAAAACACAAATGATTCACTTGGTGAATGAGCAGAAGTCATGAAAAGGCACTCCGCTAAAGAGGATAGAGCTGATTGGTGAGCAGTACCGGGTTTAGGGAAACTGATCTCCCGTGTAATAAAAAATTCACTTATATAGTTGATTCCTGGACAACCCAGGTTTGAACTGTTGTCAACACAAATGTTTTGCTCTTAACACTGAACTCACCAAAATAGTAACAGGGAAAACAAATTTATAAGTGGACTTGTGCAGTTTAAACTGGTGGTCAAGGATCAACTGTATACAGGTGGCAAAGAAGGATATGAAAAGATGTTCATTTTCATTGGTTGGCATTGTTATGTACTGTTGAGTTGGAACCGACTCATAGCTAACCCTCGAGTGGATTTTCAGAGGCTGTAAATCTCATGGGAGGAGATTGCCTGTCTTTCTCCCGAGGAGCAACTGGTAGATTTGAACTTTCTTGCCTTTGGGTTGACAGTGCAGTTCTTTACCCAATAGACCACCAGCTCTCCCTCACTGGCTATTAGGGAAATGCAGATTATTAGAGGGTTGCATCACTATATACTTTTCAGAATGGCTATAAAATAAAGGGGGGGGAAAGGAGCAGTACCAAATATTGGTGAGGATGCAGAGAAATGGAATCTCCTATAATGCCAGGGCGACTCTGGGAAACTGTTAATGGATTTTTTTTCTTTTGAAAACAAAAATGAATTAAATGTTAAGTACCGTAACCAAGCCCCTAAACGGAACCCCTGCATTCCCACTCCTAGTGGCCCTATAGGAGAGGAGAACTGTCCCACATGGTTTCAAGGCAGGAAGCACTCATGGAAGTGGACTGCCTCACCTTTCTCTTGTGGAACATCTGGTGAATCCAACCCAGTATTCACTCTTGGTCATTTATCCTAGAGAAATGAAGATTCGCATTCCTATAAAACCTGAACTTGAATATGTATTGTGGTTTTAGTCATAACTCATACGTGAAAACAGCACAGCTGTCCTCTAGCAGGTGAAGCCCAGCGCAGACCTTCAGGACTTTCAAGCAGAGCCCTGCCATCCCCTGCAGATAACTACTGTCCTGTCATGGGCTATAAATCATGTCCCCACAAAATACCAGTGTATAATGATGTGGTGGGGCGATTTTATACTGATCTCATCAACTATGCAGTTGTGAAAGGCTTAGGAGTGTGAGGCAACACTCTCAGTCCCATCACAGCCCTGATCTGAGGTAAGTAAGGGCAATGTGTGCCCGGAGCATGCCCCTTAACACCTTTTATCTGACGAGGCCTCACGAGAGGAAAGCAAGCAGGGGGAGAGGGATGCTTATTACCACCAAGAGAGAATCACCCGGGGTGGAGTGTGCCCTGGACCTTGACAGAGAGAAAGGCTTGGCCTGCAGATGCTGAAGGGAACAAGGACTTCCCTCCAGAAGCAGCAGAGAGAGGAAGCCTTCCCGTAGTCACCACCTTGACTTGGGCCTTCTAGCCTCCCAAACTGGAAGGAACTCGTTTCTGTTTGTGTTAACCACCAACCTGTGGTATCTCTGTTACAGCAGATGCTAAGTCATCTTTGGCTTGTTGCTGGGCCTTGGTCAAGACTGAGCTGCCCATGATGAACTGGATGTTGTCTGGCCCACAGGCTCATAAGGATGGAGTGGAAAATAGCACACCGTAGTTAAGGAGAAGTAGTGGTTTTGAAATTGAGCTTAAGCAGGACCTGAAGGCACAAGTTATGTGAGGAAGTGGTCCAAATGTCCATGGTCTCCATACCTGTCACGATACCTTCTGTCTCCCAGTTAGCAGCCATGGCTTCATAAAGAGTTCCTCATGGTCAGTTGACTGAGGAAGAGAAAACCCGTGCCTGGTTTACAGATGGTTCTGCACAACAGTCCCTCAGCACATGGACAGGAGGCGCAGCAGCCCTGCAGCCCTTTGCAGGGATCCCCTGGAGGACAGCAGTGAAGGGAGATCCCCTCACATGCTGGAACTGAGAGCATTGTGTTTTCAGTGATTAACTTTCTTTGGAAGGAGATGTATCATTGAGTACTGATTGATGGGCTCAGACTAGTCCCTGGATTGTCAGGAACCTGGGAGGAACATGATTAGAAAATTGGTGACAGTGAGGTATGGAGAAGAGGTCTGTGCGTTGGCCTTTCTGAATGGGCCAAAGAAGTGAAGATACTTGCTTCTCAAGTGAATGCCCACCGAAGAGTGATCTTATAGAGCAGGACTTTAACAAGCGGATAGGAAGAAGAGGTGTTCTGTGCAAACCAGGCAGCTCTTTCTCCAGCCACTCCTGTCACTGCTCAATGGACTCATGAACAGAGCGGGCACAGTGACAGCGATGGAGGTAATGTGTGCCTCAGTGATGTAGACTTCCACTCACCAAAGCAGGATTGTCTCTAGCCATTGGTGAGTGTTCACTCTGCCAGCAATGGGGACCAGCACAGAGTTCCGCACATGGAACCGTTCCTGAGATGGTCAGCCAGCAGCCTGATGGCTTTGGCGCCTTCAGCTGCAGGAGTCAAGAGAAGCCTCTTGCTTGCTGTCTGACACACGCACTTACCAGCTTCCGCAAGCTCATGACCCTCCTGGACATCAGCCTCTCTCTTCATCATTTGTTCTCCCCCGCCCCATTCTCTCATCCTCACATCCTGTCTCTCTTCCCTCTCATTTTCTTTCCCCCACATTCTCTCTTCCCCATTATCCTCTCGTCCTCTCATTGTGTCTCTCTTCCCTCTCATTTTCTTTTCCTCACATTCTCACTCCCCCCTTTTTGTTTTCTCTGTCTCCCTCTCCCTCTTGTTCTCTCATCCTCTCTTTCTTTCATTCTCTCACTCATATTTTCTCTCATTATCTGTTTCCCACCCAACCTAAGACACTCATGTTCCAGTTTTGGCGCGCTGTGATCATTCCACCCAAATTCACTCCATTTCACTCCAAACAAACCAGCACCCCTTTACCAGTACCTCCTCTTCCCCCCTCCACTCACCCCTTCCCCCCCCCGGTAACTCCCAGTCAACACTGGTCTTTAGACAGCTACAGAAATTTCTGCTAAACACACGCAAAGATAAAGAATTTTCATACCGGAGCTAATTGTCAGTTGCACTGTTCTTTATTTTGATTTCCTTTATCCTGTCAAGTCTCTACACGATGGAGGGCTTTTTCCTATGGCTGTTAGATCAATCTATCTTGTTGGTTTAATGGATGTTTGAGAGTTACAGATGGACAGCTTTGAAGGAGCTACGGCTGTAATCTAGCTTTTAATAATCCAATGCAAAGACAGCCGAAAGATCTTTCAAAAACGATCTGTGCCATTTGAAAGTCCAGTACGTGGCCAGCACACTCCACCCAGAAACCAGTTAGTGCTTTTTCACGATAGTCATGGAGTAACCCAGTGGGGATTCCACCTCCAAGGATTCCTCCCTTGGGTCTGAACTTGCTTGAATGGATACGGTCCTCTTTGGAACTTCCGTGGTGGAAATCTGTGCCTTGGGACACTCTCCAACTCTCTCTCGAATCTGATCTTCTTGCTGGTTCTCTTGAGTGTGGTCTCCTCGCGTCCACGTTTTGGCCCCTTGGGCTTCCATGCTGTTCCCTTTGCTCTTCTTGTCTTCCTCTCGCATGGAAAAGTGGCTGTTTTCTTCATTACCCTTCATTGAATATCTGTAGCGGAGAAGCCACAGCGCTACGTATTCAATTGGGTCATTCGGCTGATTATCTAACACCTCTGACAGTGCATCAGCCAGACAGTTTCCAAACCAATACTTTAAGTAGTCAATTTCCATGCCCTTTGGTATGCGATACATCTTGGCAGAGTCTCACTGCCTTGGAAACTGAGCTGCCCCTTGAGCAGGAGGAGGGATGACTGAGCAGGCAGGAAGCCCAACAAGCTGTGGGACTGTGGGTCAAAGCCTGGTCCTCTGTGACATAGATGCTGGTCTTCTGTGACATAGATGCTGTTGCTAGGTGCTGTCTGGCCTGCTCTGACCCACAGTGACCCTGTGGCCAGCAGACACTGCCCTGTCCTGCTCAGACCCCACAGTCAGCGGTGTGTCTCAGCTCGTTGTGACCACTGTGCCCGTCCGTCGCAGGGGTCTTCCTCTCTATCAGTGACCCTCTCTTTTCCCAAGCGTGATGCCCTTTTCCAGAGTCTTACCCTTCCCCCCACCCCCGATAGAGCACGTACCCAGTGCACATAAAAGGAAGGCTTGCCATGCTTGCTGCTAAACAGCATTCTGGCTGCATGTCTCCCAAGACACAGATACAAAGGCTTGTTTCTTTCCTAAGAGACCCCTCAGAAGTCCTGGGCAAAAGAGCAGGGCCGGGTGCGGGTGTGGGGAAGAACAGGCCCAGCAGAAAACCCAAATCATACTTGAACAACTGAAATCATAAAGGGTTTTACCTGACAAATCCCTTAGTATGAAGACCAAGTAATTGGATGATGTCTGAGAAATAGCTAACCGCGTGTGACTAAAGCTTCAGAAACACATTTTTAAAATTTATTTGTGATTTAATGGAAGTTTACAAAAAAGTTAGATTTTCATCCATTCATTATTGGACATTTGTTACCCCCTCTCCCTCCCTTTCTCTATTCCCAGTTCAGGATCTCTCTTTTTTTTCCTTTAAAATTTTATTTTATTAATTTTAATGAACATTTACAGAGATATTGGATTTCCATTCATTCATTGATACATTTTTTCCCTGCCCACCCCTCCCCTCCAGTTCGCTCTTCTCTTTGAAAAGTAAAAGAAAATTTCCTTCATTGGTATACAATACCACCCCACACCCTTGCCCCAAGTACACTCTACTATGCAACCTTCATTCTGGACTCTTGTCATAACCATAATACCCTATCATATGTCGCTGTTAAACTGTTCTCTCCCTCGTCTGCTTCAATGCAGTATACATAATTTATCCAATTTTTCTCAGTTTCATCCCAACCCTGATTTCAGTCCTGTTCTACAACAGTGGCACTATGCAGTATTTGTATTTTTGTGACTGAAATAGTTCACTCTGCATAATGTCCTCCAGGGTCACCCATTTTGAATAATATTTTAGGAGTTCCTTCATTTTTCAGTGCAGTGTAGTATTCCATTGTGTGGCTATACCACAGCTTCTCTATCCATTCATTTGTTGATGGAATTTTAAGTTGTTTCCAACTCTATGCTATTGTGAACAAAGCTGCAATAAAATGGGTGTGCATATATCTGCTTGGGTGGCAGTTATGGTCTCTTTAGGGTATATTCCCAGTAGAAGAATTGCTGGGCCAAATTGTATTTCTATTTGCAACTTTTTGAGAAAGTGCCGTACAACCTTCCATAGTGGTTGCTCCATTTTACACTCCCACCAACTCTGAATCCAGTATCTCCGCAACCTCGCCAGCATTTGTTGCTTGCTGTTCTGTTAAATTTTGCTATTCTTTTTCCTCCATTTCTCAAATTTTGTTATTCTTATTGGGGTGAGATGATATCTCATAGTTGTTTTGATTTGCATCTCTCTTAGAGCTAGGGATTTTGAACATTTCTTCATGTGCTTGTTGGCCATCT